CTATAAGGATTTTTTGGGGGGAGGTCGGTCATGGGGCCTGAACTCTGGGCCTGGGTGCTGTCCCTCAGCTCTTCAGCTCAAGGCTAGTGCTCTACCACTTGAGCCACAGCACCACTTCTGGCTTTTTTCTTATGTGGTGCTGAGGAATCAAACCCAGGGCCTCATGCATGCAAGGCAAGTGCTCTACCACTAAGCCACCTTCCCAGCCCCCACTATAAGGATTTTGAACTTAGATAAATGAGGTATGAGGAGGAGGGGAGCAGGAATGAAGAGTGTTTCTGTGTTTCTTGATTAGATAGAGGTATCATGTGATTGTACTCATGTATAACAGAATTCTAAAAGAAGGTATAAAACATCACCTTCAAGCATGCTGTGTAATAACAGTGACATTGAAGTAGAAGGATACAGATCATTCTATATCATTAAATGAGTGGAGAGGAAAACATTTTCAGTAAACAAAACAAAACACACCACAGGTTCTTTCATTTCTTTCTGATTAGGATTAGACAAAGGCATGAGAAATATGGGTAAAAGAACTATCCAAACAAAACTCAGCCACAGGTACTGTATATTCTCATTGTGTGTCAGGGCAAATTTTTGTTTTCGCAAGTTTTTTTTTAAATGACTACTTTTGTACTCATTATTGTTATCAAACATTCCATATTTGTTTATAAGGATGGAAAGAATGTGTACATGCTTGTTGAGCAGCTTAATAAATAACTATTTGATGATTATTCTGCAGTATGTTTAAAGGACAATTTTTCTTCTGTTGCTTTGGAGAGCTCATTTGGCATTCTAAAAATGGATGCAATTTCAAAGGGTGGCCAAAATGTATCAATTAGTTTGACATCGAGGTCTTCTTAACAGATCTATAAATTTCCAATTTCCTTTGCCATCTTAACCATGCTAAATCACCCAGAACAAGATCATTCTTTTGAACAACAGCCTCCTTATTAGCCAAGATCAATTGAGACTAGAAAATGAAAAATACACTAGACACTGAGAACTCTTATGAAACCACGATTTTGAAATGTATATTGAATGAAGATTAATGTGTTATTTTCATCTTCTAAATCATTGATTTAAAATTTTATTTTCTACATCCTACTGCTGGATTAAAAACTAATATATATTTGGATGGTTTACTTGCTTGCAAGCATTATCCTTTCCCAATTGATTTTATGCATTAACAGAACGAAATGATTTTTAATTTCAAATGAATCTCCCTTTGCATACTTTATGTGGTTCTAAAAATGCTGCCTACTAACTTGGGTAAAATATTTTTCCCATTGAATTATGAATTAGTGGGTAGACTATTTTAACTGCTGATTTATTTTTATGTAAGGGATTCTTGGCATTGTATGGCCCTATGGCTCCTGTATGATCTGGACTCTGCTTACTTTTGAATATAATCGCCTCTTCTTCTTCCTCCGTCTTCTCCTCCTCCTCTTCTATATCCAGGTCCCAGCCATAATGGCTTTTCTTCAAACTCCAACACTTATGCTCAGGATTGAACTTATTTTTCATGATATGAAAAGTCAAACATTCTCCACACAGCACATTTAGTACATTACTTTCTTAAGTGTCTTCCCTTAACTAGAAAGTAGACTTCAAAAATACATGGATTATTATCTACCTGCTATTAAATCTCCACATCTAGAGCCATGTTGACTATATAAAATTTACTCAGATAATGATAAATAAATGCATAAAGGAAGGAATGCGCACTTTCTCACATCAAAACACAAATTTCTTTTCTGTAGACTTTGTCAACTTCTATTTATTGTTCAAATTACAACTTAAATGGCACTTTAATATTTTTTTCAGGCTAGTCTTCTTTGATCACAAGATAAGACTAGGTTCCCCAATTTTATTCTTAAGAGTTCCCATATTTATTTTTAAAACTTATTAGAATTTCAACTTATAAAAACCCATTGTTTTAGAAATAATTGATTTAACTTCTAAGTTCTCCACAAAGCTTAAGTCCTGTTGAAATAGAGAACTATTCCAATCTTCTAAATCATATCCCCTCTTACTACCCTCAATGCTGGGGACAGAAATAAGAATATGAGGGGCTGGGTAGGTGGCTCAGTGGTAGAGTGCTTGCCTTGCATGCATTGAGGCCCTGGGTTCGAATCCTCAGCACCACATAAGCAGAAAAAAAAAGCCAGAAGTGGCGCTGTGGCTCAAGTGGTAGAGCGCTAGCCTTGAGCTGAAGAGCTGAGGGACAGGGCCCAGGCCCAGAGTTGAGGCCCCAAGACTAGACCCCCCCTCCAAAAAAATAAATAAGAATATGATAAATGAATACATAGATGAAAGAATGGTTCCATGGCTACTTATTTCAACTTCCACTTCTCTTGTTCAAAGTACTCCCCATCCTTCAAAAAAGTGTAAATTACCAAACTACAACAGACAGTTTTAACATAATGGACAAGTTAAATGTACTCCATCACAAATTCAGTAATACTTGTAGATCTACTAAACTTAATGCATCATTATAATCCCTTTACCCCAAATGATTCAATTCAACAAATATTCAATGAATTTCTTCTCAACCTAGGATATACAAGGTTGTGTAAATAGTAAGAAGGTTTTTGTTGTTGATTGTTTGAGCCAGGTTCCTTTACTGAGTCAGGGTCTCTCTACGTAGTCTAGGCTGGCCTTGAACTCATGATTCTTTTGCACCAGTTGCTAAGATTCCAGGCATGTATCATCATGCTCAGCAAGACCACAGACTTTAAAATAGAAATATCTTCCACTTTCACTGCCTGTGTGAATATGACAAAGTTACTAATTGATACTTGGTTGGTCAAATAAGAATAGAAATATCATTTATCCAGAAAAGTGTAATCTAGTAACGTTTTCACATAGGTGTCTTTATGTAATTATAACTTAATCAGAATCTTATCAGCACAAAAATAAAATCCATTGAAATAAAAAAAATAAAAACACCAATTTTGTAGAGTTCATGTAGAGATTGTTGATGATGCAGGCAGCATGCTTGCCACGGTGGACATTCAAAACATTCCAACTGTAACTACTATCCCTACAAGGAAAGCCCCTAGAGGGCAGAAGATGATTCCATGTCTAGCCCTTTATACATAGAGCACACTCCATAAAGTTTACATCGATTGCCAGCAAGAGGAACTGTAGCAGGATAAAATGCAATTAAGAAAACAAGTCCCCAAATAAATCCATGAAATTTTTAGATAATAATCATTTTTTTTAAATGCTACTACTCACAAAGTAAGAGCAAAGCATGTGTTGCAGACCATTTGTGCTTTGGGTGGCTATATTCGTCAGTTTTATTGTTGCTGTGACTCAAATGCCTTGCCATAAGTAATGTAAGGGTGGCAGAATTATTCCAATTATAGTTTCAGAGGGCTTGGCCCATGGTTGCTGGGCCCCATGCAATTGGGCCTGTGGTAGAATATAGTATTGGTAGCATGGCTGCCATGAATCAATGATGGTGACAGGGGAGGACCAGACACCTCTAAAAAACCAGTCCTGGTGACTTACTGCCTCCATGCCTTCATATTCTATAGTTTCTAAAACCTCCCTGAATAGCTCCACTGGGGACCAAGAATGCTAACACTGAGCCTAGGGTGGACATTTCATATTCAAACCATAGCAACCACCAGTAGGAAATGATGGGAAGTGGCTAGTTGTGGCTGTTGGGAAATGGTAAGTTCATATGCATGGTTCATGAGTCTCAGCTCCTAGGAAAATGTTCAAATCCTTTAGTGAAATTTGATGTTGAATGTACAGTGTTAGATAAAACTGGCTAATTTGTTATAATAGCAGATAAAATTGGGTTATTGATCTTAGATATCAAGATGAATTTGTCATGGTAATGGATGTTTGCCCTTTGGCAGTGGACTGGTAATGAGCACAAATAGATTCTGATACTGTTACAATGTTGCGCAAAAAGGGCTGTGCTGTGCAATGTACCATGTTAGTTTTTGTAAACTGAACCATAGACTAAATTGCACAGGTCACTCCTTTTTGGTGCACTCAGGGAAGGTTTTCAGTTGTGTGGCATTATTCATAATCATTATGTATTGCTGTCCTTTTGCCTGACCAAAGTCGGCTTGCTGCTCTAAGAGTAGGACTGAGATAATGAGCATGATCAAAAGAATTTCTTTTTTTAAAAGATTATTCTCCACATCGTTAAATTAGGTGTCTCTATAAAGGCATTTGACAAAGATCCAAACACAGGAGTAGCACCCATTTGAATTTTCTTATCCCTCCCCACCCTATGAAAATTTGGACTCAGGACCTTACACTTGCTAGGCAGGCAGTCCACTATTTGAGCCACACCCCCAAGCCTAAAGATTTTTTTGTTTTTGTTTCTTACCCTGGCAATCATGCAGAAAGTTTCAGATTTGTAATTACAGAAGTAAAGCCAGCCACCACATACACTGAGAAGCTCTGATTGGCTAGCATCTCCTTGGAGTCACATAAAGATGATCTAGACTCACTGGTAGCAACAAGCCCTCAGACACACACATCAGCCTGCCTAGATGTACTGAGGCAGGGACCAGACCAGTCAAGCATACTGAGCTAGCAGCTCCTTGCTTGTCCACTCTCCTTCATGTGCCAGCAAGTGTCCCGGAAGTCACACACACACACACACACACACACACACACACACACACACACACACACACACACACACACACACACACACACACACCCCACCCCTGGATATATCCAGGTAGGCAAGAACACTTCCAAAGGCCCCTGGAATATTGGTTTGCTTGTCTCTGAGCTTCTCACAAACGAGGGCTTCATCCCCAGTAGGGATCAAGCCGCAACTGGAGACACAGCCCTGTTGGGGCAACTTTTCTCGGCGCCCTGAATTCCCGGAGGGGCGTGTGGCGCCGGCTGGCCCCGGGCGGACCGTGGGGTGCCCGCCCCGCGGGGTGGCCGGGGAGCCGCGCCGAGGGGCGGGGCCGGGAGGCGGCCAGGAAATGCCCAGGGGACTGTGTCACCTGTGCCCGCCAACTTGTTGATTCCCAGGAGCTCTTCCTCTTCGGTCTGAGCCGGAGTCTCTCGCTCCCCTGCTCACCTGTGGCCCGCAGAGTTCCAGAGCAGGGTCTCCGGGGCAGATCGCCCTCTTCCCGCCCCCCCTGCCCCGTACACCCCAACTTCACAGCCATGAGCAAGTTGGGCAAGTTGTTTAAAGGGAGAGGCTCCTCCAAGAGCCGAACTGCTCTCAGCCCCCAGGAGGCCCTGGCCCGGCTTCGGGAAACGGAGGAGATGCTGGGGAAGAAACAAGAGTACTTGGAGACTCGAATCCAGAGAGAACTGGCCCTGGCCAAAAAACACGGCACGAAGGACAAGCGAGGTAGGCTGGGCCGAAGCCCCAGAGGCCTTGTCACCCACCTCCCCAGGCCTTGCGAGGGGACCCTGGCACGCAGCCAGGCAGCCAGGCTGGCTCCTAGGAGCCCGTTGACCCTCCCCAGGCCTTGGTGATTGGGGTGAGCTGAGCCAGGAACTTCCTTCCCCGGGCTGGCAAGATAAAAGGCAGTCCCCAAAAGGTCAATCATAAAGATGGGCATTCTTTTCATGTAATATTTAAACGACTCAAAATGATTTTGAGAAATCCATGATGAAAATCCCACATCGAGATTTCAAATGCAGGCAGAATCAGCATTACTGATTTTATTTTATTTTTTAGTCTCTAGAGGGAATTTGTTTATTTAGATTCTTTTTAAATGTGATGTATTTGGGCCGTCATAGATTTAGTTTTCCTTTTATTTTGAATTCTAAAAATAGTCCAGTAGATGGAATTTTTCTTAATTACTGAGTTTTCTAGAGTTTGCTCCTGGATCATAGTTCATCCTCTTGATCCTGGCACTAACCATCAATTTTTTTTGTATGTTTATGTGCCAAATCACACAATTACCTTGCATGTGAATTCCCTGTGTAGAATATGCTTATATAGTCATCTTTTTTTGTATCTTGTTCCTTGGCTGTTTAGTTGTTGATTGTGCAGTTGAAGTTCTTTAAAATCAAAAACAAGGAATTAAATATTAAGTCGCTTATCACTGGCTTTTAGCACACATGAGGGACTTTGAGTCAGTAATGATTTTTGGTGCTTCTGCTGCACCTTGAACTCTTTGTTCTTTGCTAGAGTTACTTGGTTTCTTCAGCATATTACTCCATTTATAGAAATAGATCAAAAGGACACCCATAGCATATATAAAAACCCAGTGAAAAAATGAGGTGATTTGCTCTTGTAATACCAGGTCAATGACAGACCCAGAAATAGAAGTGGCAGCACAGGATTCTCCTTACCAACAAACCCTGAACATTTGCACCTTTACGTCCAGCTTCTTTAGTCACAATGAAGCTTAAGAAGATTTAGCTCATCCTAAAAGAGGCTGTCATTATTTCCTGCAAAAGAGGAATCTTGTCTTATGGAGTTGACCTTGAAAGCCTTAAATCTTTGTCAGTAGTAAACACTGGCAATGGAAAGGCTAAGTTTTATTTTTCTCTGTAATTGCACATAACTTTTGGCTACATTTTAGCCTGTTTTAAAGCTAAGTACTGCTTTCTATTTTTACTTTTATGTCCGAAAATATTTTGGGAGGTCATTAAAAGGCAATTTTTAAACAAAGACTATGTCACTGTGGCTTGTGAAAGAGTCACTGGACATTCTTCTCTGTTTCTCCCGCTTAGGTTGGACATGCTGACATTTGCTTAGGATCTGTCAAGCATTTCCCTTTTGCACTTATTTGGATGTACATACAGCTTTGTCTGAGCTCATATTGGTTCAAAAATATGAATAAAGTTGAACATCTGCTTTAGGAGCTGCTAAAACTTTAGATTTTTTCCTTCATGAATAAAATGTAAAGTTATGTGGGGTTTTATTTCAGATATGTTCTTCAGTTGGCAGTGCATGTAAGTATATACCAAGCTGACTTTTTAAAATAAAGATTAAAAACTCAAAGACAGACAATACTAACTTCCTTAAATCAGGGAAGTTATTGATGCAAGTATCAAGAACAAATAACTAACTGGTGCTAGAAAATCCATTCATTCTTTGTTATGTATTTTGGGGAGCTTCACTGTGTGTTAGTACAAACTTGGTATTCAAGTAGCCTAGGTAGTGAGAAGAGGCTGGGTAGCGTGAGGCTATCTATAATATAAACTATGTGAAGGATTCAGTCACAGGCCTCTACATTGCAAGCACTGTCAATATAATTATATATACCAGATAACTTCATATACACTTAAGTTAATGTCTTCCATTAGCCACTTAGAATATTTTCATACAAGTAGTAAAATGAAGCCCAATGTTCTCCTTACTAAATTGTTCCAATGGTATACAATGCCATTGCTAGAAATTGTTATAATATACATTATCACCAGTATGACACAATAGACACATGCAGTTAAAGTTTTAGTTGGTCAGCTCACATGTTGTCAGGAATACTGGTTAATGGATAGCTGACATAACATTGAAAGGTGTACCCTGCAAACTACGTTCTTCAATGATCTGTTTCTATACAATAACAGAAGTTTTCACAGCACTCTATACCTTCAAAAGACATTCTACTGGTAAGATATGTTACTTTAAAATGAGCATAAATGTTAAAAGATGGATCTCATTGGAATTATTTATTTATTTTGTTGCTCGTGAGGCTTGAACTCGGCCTGGGCCCTGTCCTCAGCTCTTCAGCTCAAGGCTAGCACTCTATCACTTGAGCCACAGCGCCACTTCCAGTTTTCTGGTGGTTAATTGGAGAAAAGCATCTCACAGACTGTCCTGCCCAGGCTAGCTTTGACCCGTGATCCTCAGATCACAATCTCAAGTAGCTATCAGCACCTGGCTCTCATTGGAATTAAACACATGGAATTAGCTGACATAGTTTAATGGAAAGTTTTTACCTCCCATGTATGAATAGATGATTTAAAATAAAACACCTACTAGGTACTTAACTAATTTAACATTAGCCTGGCTTCTGAAGTTTGTTATCATTGCTGTGTTTGGTCATTGGTTCAGATAGATTGCTAACTGAGCACACCTCCTGTAGGACAGCTGATAATCTAGAGTGTCCTGTCTGCCTCAGCCTTTCAAAGGTATAGTGGATCACCTGAAAGGCATAGAGCTGGAATGTTGTTGATCCCATTTAACAGATTGGCAAGTTGTTGTACCTGTTTGCCACTGTGTATTGGTTTCATAATGTGACTGCAGAATTTAGTCTGAAACTTGGGTACATTATTATTTGTAGTCAAGTCTTATGGGAGTAGCTAATTCTTACCTTAAGCTTCTTAATGGGTTATAGTTACCTTCTATCAAAGAGAATGCTAGTTTACACAAACAAACTGGCTTTCCAACAGCTGCTATTTTGATATCCAGGGCCCTTTTGGTATTAAAAAAGAAATAGTTGCAGCAAGGTTTATAATTTAGTTAAAAATTTAGGGGGACCAGAGATAGTTATTTTTATTTTTGTTGTTCATGGGACTTGAACTCTGGGCCCGAGCTCTTCAGCTCAAAGGAAGCACTCATTCAACCCACTTGAGCCACAGTGTCACTTCTGGTGGTTAATTGGAGATACGAATCTTATGGATCTTCTTGCCCAGGCTGGCTTTGAACCAGGATCCTCAGATCTCAGCCTCCTGAGTAGCTAGGATTACATCATGAGCCACTGGCAACTGGCCTAGAGATAGTTTTAAATATACATTATTTGCTGTAACTTTCTACTTTCATATAATTTTTTCCAAGACTTTCCATTTCCTAACAAATGGGGCAGTGTAATTCTTTCTGATGGGGGCATAGTCATTGTATGTATGTACACACACACACACACACACACACACACACACACCACATTTTCTTGATCCACTCATCTACTGAGGGGCATCTGGGTTGGTTCCCATATCTTAGCTATGGTAAATAATGCTGCAATAAACATAGTTGTGCTGGTAGCTTTGGAATGGCCTTGTTTGTGATCATTTGGGTAAATGACCAAAAGTGTGATTGCTCGGTCATAAGGGAGCTCTATGTGGAGTCTTCTGAGGAACCTCCATACTGCTTTCCAAAGTGGGTGAACAAGTTGACACTCCCACCAACAATGCAGTAGGGTTCCCTTTTGGCCACATCCCCTTCAGCATCTGTTGTTATTAGATTTCTTGATTATTGCCATTCTAACTGGGGTGAGGTGGAATCTCAATGTTGTTTTGATTTGCATTTCTTTTATGGCTAGAGAGCTTGAGCATTTCTTCATGTGTCTATTGGACATTCTGTCTTTTTTGTGGAGCAGTAAGCTACTTGAGTTTTTTTTTTCTACTTTTGTCTTACTTTCCCAATGCTTCCTGACCCTTTTTACATCATGGGACCTGTGGACAATGACTAGTTGCATGCAGAGTTGGACTCTTGATTTGCCAGGCTGGTGGCCTTAGGAGCTGAAGAATATCTTAGCACACTGTAAACCTTTCCTGCTGCATGGGTTTGACAGTGTACCTAAGGGGCTACAGTTTTGAGGTCTTTCTCAATAATATCTTTGGTAAATGGCCACAAGCATTTTACTGTAATGGATATTCCAATGTAATTCTTATATAAGAGCCTGGGATTCAGTTCAAGGTCTAATGTCTAGTTCTGAGTCACTTAGCTGCTTGGTGACCAGTCACTTGGACTGTCTAATTTTCAATTTTCTTGTCTGTATAATAGAAGTGATAACATAGATCCTCAGCATTGTGAAGATGAGTGACAGTATTGTGAAAAGAACTTAGTGTTTTATAAAGAGTCACAAATGGCATATCCATGTATTCACATACACACACAACGCACACACACACGCACACACACACACAAACACACACGCACACACACACACACACACACACACATATAGAGAGAGAGAAAGAGAGAGAGAAAGAGAGATTTGTAATTGGCCTATTAAATGGCCCAAACTTTGCTTTCCTGGGATTACATTGATGAGATGCATCTCTCCCACAAAGACTTTTCATGGAAGCCACTTGTTCAGGTCTTTCTTTTCTCAACTTTTCCCTGTCACACCTTTATAGGAAATCTAAGATTTGCTCACTGGGGCCCATTCATTGTGAAAGATTAAATAAAAGATTATTAGATTTTGCCAGAGAACCACGCAGACATCCAGGTACAGAGAACAAAGAAAGGCTTATTGCCACGAAAGGGGGCTGACAAGACTCCTTCTTACAAGGGAGAAGTGAGAAGAAGCACCTGCTATTGTCTGAGGTGACCTATGTCACTTAGGGGGTTTTGGAAGGGTTAGAAGGAGCTAAGAGGTGGAGACCCTGGTGTGGATGTGTGGGCCAGGGACTTCATCATGGTGGACTAGGATTTATGGCTGCTGTCCA